CATGTTAAATGTTTGTTGTCTATTAAATTTATTTTATAATCAAAATAAAATTTAAAATGCAACATGACAATAAAATGAATCTCTTTAACTCAATTTATTTATTTTATTATTATATTAACTTAAAAATTTTGATTTTTGAAAGAAGCTATATAGAACAAATTTAATGGAAGAGGTCGTTAATAAAGAGAGAGAGAATTTTAATAGAATTATTTGTTTGCAGTACTTAATAGAGACAAAGAGAGAGGAAAAGATAGAATTTTAATGGAATTGATTTTTATAGAATTATTAATAAAACAAACTTTGCAGAGAGAGATAGTGGGGTGGGGTAGGGTAGGGTGGGGTGGGGTGGGGTGGGAAGAGAGTTATAAAAAAGTAAAGGCTCTCTTGATATTTAAGATTGAAAAAAAGTGAGTGTGCACATAAATGATTAAAAATATGAGTCTTTAAATTAAAATATACAAGATATATTAGCCAACCTAAGTAAAATTTAGTTTTGGAAGTACTAATAATGCAGCTAGGGGTTGATAAACCTATTCTAAAACCCAAGGAGAGAGATTTAATTGAAAAAGCATGGTCTTTGTTGTTTTAAATACTCCATAATTACTTACCTAGGCTCCATCAATAATACTTTTACTCTTTTGTTTTGCTTATATTAATAGATGTCAAGAGATTTTATGTTATAAATTCATTCATTTCGTTGGGTAAAAATTCCTATCAAAGAAAGTTTTTAGGATTCTAAACCTTTGAGAAAGTAGCCTCATCCACCCACAGTAGGTCAACTACAAAATTAAATAAAATAGAATAAAATTTTAAATTATTTATATTTTTATTTCTAAATAAATTATGGACTAAGATACCATCTCATTTTTGTAGAGACAAATCCAAATAAATCAAAGTCCATGTTTTTTTAAAAATTATTCTAGTATTTTTTAAGATCTAAAAGGTATGTACAAAGGGAATAAGTGTACAATATGCGCTTTATTTTTACTAGTGTTTTAGAACGTGGATCGATAAGACAAATCATTTACCCATATATATGTGTCGGATCATTGGATCAATAATCTAGATCAGTTTTGGATGAGTCCAAATTGGTAATTCAAAAAATCTAAAAAAATAAATATTAAAGTAGAGATTTATGGTGTTGGACTTTTATTATGCCTAAATATACATGAGACAAGTTTAAAAGTCAAAAAAATAAGGGTTTTTTAGGGGGAATTGAATTGGGACCTATATAATCCCATAACCAATTCAATCATAATTGACTCCCATCCGAATCGGCAATCGAAGTAAAGAATCATGAAGTTTTAAATACTAGTATATAAATGAATAAGTTCAAAGCATAAGCAGTCAAGGTGAAGGGTGTGATGTTTTGAGTTTCATTCCTACTATAAATAAAAAATTATGTATCAAAATTTTTTAAAAAAATTTAATATACAATAATAAGAATAATGATCCTATGAAACCATCCCACACCATGTACGTATAAAATTAAAATAATTTATAAATCTTTTTGAAACACTATACCCATGTGTGTACAAAATTAAAGTAATTTATAAATCTTCTTGAGACACTATATAAGTGACACGTGTTGAATCAACCTAGGACCGTGATTTGAAGTAGGTGGGACATTTTAATTGTTTGAGTTTACAAAGCTGCGGCCCTACAAAATAGATTTTTTTAAATAAAAAATCTTAAAACTATAAGAATTTTAGAAGCATGTGCACCAAGTTATCATTAAGAAAATGGCACTAAAAAAATGCCAAAATCTAGTTACACTTTCCTATTATTTTAGAGTGCAGATTGTACATAGACAAGGCTCTAAACAATCAAAGTAAGACATACTTTTAAATAGTATTGAAAAATACGATATCAATATTGTAAATTTTTGTGATAGCCTTAAAATATATTTTTATCTCTAATTATAAAATTTAACGTTTTTTTTTTAAAAAAAAATAGATCAAGTATATCTATAAAAACTTGAAGATCATGAAAATTGATGATCCAAAAATGCATTACAACATGCACTATTTTCAAAACTTGAAATTCATTTTTTTTTCTCATGTCCATGCATCTTGATATCGAGATGATCAATTTGAAGTTTTTTGGGTATCAAAACAACTTCTTTTAATAAAAATTTTGAGGTGGGCTCTAATTTGATTGTTTAGAGCCTCGGCTCTATATGAACTTTTTCCTTATTTTTAATACAATCTCCAATACATTATAAAAAATGTAAATTATGATAATGGAATGGGCATAAATCATTAAAAAAAACAAGTTATCGTGGAGGTCTCCCATTGGTCCATGTGCAAGTTATAACTAAGAAAATGGGCCAAATCCGACTAAGAAAATGCCAAAATCTAGCTACAATTTTCTATTATTTTAATACACTCTCCAATACATTATAAAAATGTAAATCGTGATAATGAATGACATAAAATGATTAAAAAAAAAGCAAGTTATAATGGAGGTTTCCCATTGGTCCATGTGCCTATGAATGGATAAAGCACCAAATGAAGACGGGAATACCAATTTCACATCCAACAATGATATTCCCAATTTCACATCCAATAATGAAAACTTATTGAGATCACTTTGTATTAAATATAAATAAATTTTTTTATATAAATATAAATAATATTTTTCGATAAAAATATGGAAAGCTGTTTTGTAGGGACGTAATTTTATATACTCACACCTCAAATCTTGTCTACAAAAATTATATTTTGGTACCAAATACATGTGATTTGAGACTAACTCTATGGATTTTTAATTTTATTTTTTTAAAAACGTGCATTTAAAGCCATAAAATTAGCAAAAAATAGTTTATATTGTAGCCGGTATATGAACTACTTATTTTAGGTTCCCAGATCTACGAAATCATACACTTTTAAATCTTTAATTTGCGTAATCAAAAGTACTTAAATCACTTTTAGAGCTTCAAATCACATCAAGAGTAAAAAATAGACTTGCATGCTATCCCTAGGGCTTTTTATTACAATGAAAATTACCACACATGTTTCGTTTTCCCGAATGGTTAATCCGCCCCTTTACTAGAACATTTGTAAAAAGGATTTTGCCTTACACTCGATGTGTGATGAACTTAGAGATAGAGCCATGCAGGGATTCTTAATCCAATTTAGTTAACTTAGATTTCATGAACTCTCAACATCAAGTACATGACCATACAGCTTGTGGGTGAGCTATTTTTAATAAAACAGGTGCATTCCATACACATATGCTATTTTTAGGTATAAGATTGAGGTATTCATGGTTAGAGAGGTTGATGCTTCAATATAATGACCCACCCTCCATTTCCACAATCAATAAATATATATATATATATATATATATATATATATAGGTAAAAAGTTTAATTATAAGATTGAAACCTTCAAATGTAAAATTACAGATGCATCTCAAAAATCCATCGAAAAAGATTACTTTAATGTTGAAAAACCCTCTAATTGTGAATCTCGATATCGAGATATATATGAATTTGAAAAAAAAAAAAGATTTTACGTCCCATTAAAGCAAGAACTCGAAACCATTCTTTAATTTAAGGTAAAAAAAAAAGGAATTTATATAAGAGAAGAGAATTTTGCGATGTCGAAAGATTTCATGCTCCCGAAGGGGCGTATTGTCCAATTACTCCCTTAGGCAAAACCCAATATAAGGACCCAAAGTTTAGGAATGCAACCTTTCACATAGGCCATCTCAATTTTAAAAAAGAAAAGTTTCAAATTGCATTCTCTAGGAGCTTGAAAAAATTAATGCATTAAGATTGAATAGAAACCGCGCACGTTTTGAAAGGCGAGATCTAAGTATTACAAAACTCACAAGTCATTGTTTTTTCTTTTGAATATAGTGATTTTTAGGTTGTTCCCAAAATTTTGGATTTAAAAAATCTTCCCAAGTTAAATCTTCTATCCCAGGGAGTAAATATACAATATCCTCCTACGAGAGCAAGCCATACACTTTCACGGGGAAGAACTAGAAGATATCCACAAATCTGTGTATTTGGTTCAGCCTTTATCTTCGTTCTTTCTTTACAATTTAGGTCCTACAGTGATCTTTGCAGTGGATGCTTCCGCCATTGATAGAGCACTTGCGTTGAGCAGTGGTGAACCCCCTATTTCTGAAGTAGGTGATATTTTTTAGTAGACTTGTTCTAGTGGTGAAAATCTAGACTGCCGGGATAGAAGGACAGATTTCAAGGGTAACTCAAATGACTTTCAAACCAAAAGCAAAGCTAATGGCGACTGTCATATCTTAGGTGAAGTCGAAGAAGAAACTTAAGGTGAAGTCGATGAAGAAACTCAAGGGTAAGCTCGTGTTTCAGATAAAGTTCATCAGTTTTATAGCAGACATGCAAGCTAGATTGAATGACTTTAGTTTTTATGCAACTCATTTTCAAAATTCATTTTGTAATGTAGTAAAAAGAAATCAACTTAAATAAAGTTTTAATGAGCTCGGGTTTCAAACCATGAATAACTAAGATTATTCTTCCTGCGCGGTTAACAAGGATGATTAATTGAATCTGTTTTCTTGTTTATTAGTGAATTATCAATCTTTTAAATTCAAAATTTCCTGCCTGGAATAGTTAGAAAGGCCAAAATGCCATTTGGCAGTTTTTTTCCCATAGTAAATGAACAATGAGTTTCAGGTTTACAAAATTTTTATCGAAGAGGTGAAACTCTGCCCTTCAACTTTTCAACATGATTGTACGATAACTGCAATTCTCTCCATCAGATCTCAACCATTTCTTGAGAAACTTGTTTATCTCTAATTTTCGACTTTAGCCGTATTAATTTCAATCCGAAGGCAAACTAGTTTATGGACCTGGTAAGCACTAAGGTCAATGCAAGGTTCACAATTATTACCAGGACATCTTAGTAGGGTTCCTATTCAAAAGACTACATGATTGAAAAATGCAGTTCAAGTAGTATCATTCTTACCAATGAGTGAGATATGGAAATGAAAGGTAAAGGTGGAGGTCTATCTTGGGCAACTAACACAACATCAAAATATCAATAAGAATACAAATAATGAATTGTAACAACTACATTATTTGTAAAGCTACTAAAAGGTAGTAACCTTCCCATCAATTGATCTTACATGCCTCCTTGCGTTGTTTGACCTTTGAGCAGATCCCTTAGGAGCCCCTGTTCTTCTTGATCTTTTATGGATGCTCCTTTATAAGTTGAAGGAGGTCTACCAACTTCAAGCCTCTTGGCAAACGAAGCACGTTTTGTTGTCCTAGCTTTCCCTTTTTCCGAAGTTCTTGTTTCATTATGAGCTAAACCACCATTGAAGCTAATTCGGTTCTCATCCTCTTCGTCCATGGAGTCAGAATCAGAGCATTCTTCTTCTTCTTCTTCAGTAAAATCATCAGACCCATCTTCCTCTTCTGTAATATCATCAGACCCTTCTTCCTCTTCAATAATCTTACCAGACCCATCTTCACAATTCACCTTTTCTTCCGAGTCCTGAACTATTTTTAAAGTTTCAAGGCTCTCTTTAGTGACTTCTCTCTTTTTATGCATCAAATGAATGTACTGGTACCTAAACCCCATCAATGGATGCTTCTCCACCAGCAAATCTCTTTTATAAGCCTCTCTTAATATCACAGTGCAAGTCTTGATCTTGTTTGATGCATAAAATATACCAGGATGGTGAGCAAACACTCTGGTAAACCTTGGCCTGAAACCCAAATGTTCACCAAGACTCTGCACATTTTGTTTCTCTGCCATCTTAGCAACAAAGAGATGGAATAGTTCGTGGAGAACACCAAGCATCCATTTTTCATACTGATCACTCCTCGAATCTAAATAAAAAGCATCCTCATATGGAGAAATATATGGAAGCTTCTGCGAATTCTCAACCCACTTGACCACCTCTTTCTTGATATCATACCCCCTTGAAAATCTCATAGGAAAAGCAAGAGCCATGCCTTTTTTGTATTCTTTCCCTTCTTTCATAACCTTCTTCTCCATTACTGATACAGCGAGCTCATCGCTCCAGCATACGAGGTCCAATCAGAGAGAATTCCGACTTGAATTAGGGTTAGGGCTAGTAGAATTAAGTTTAGGATTAGGCTTAAATGGGTCCGACCAAAGGGGCTTGAAGACAGAATTAGGGCTAGGATTAGGCTCAGGGTTTGGAATGATTTGAAAGTAATCAGGGAGGATGGTTCTCACATAATCGTCTGGTAACCCTAAATCCCATTTGAGCTGATCAATTAGGGTTAATGGCAACCTTTTATGCCTTGTCAACATGAGGAGCTTGAGGAGACGGTCTGCAATATTATGGCGAAGAGATTCAAAAGCTTGATTCTCCTCAGAATCGATTCGAAGAACTTCAGGCGTGAGCTTCACATAGGGGCGAGGAGTATGAGAGAAAAAGTGGGTCTCAAAGACATTTGGATAGTAAGCAATGAAATTGAAAGCTTGAGTCGGTAGGCCAAGCTTGTCTTTGAGCTCTGCAACTGCAGATACAGGTATGGAACCACCCGGTTCGGTCTTGAGGAGGTTTTTCAGGGCGATTACAGGCTTGAGGTGCTTCTCTTTCTCTACTGCACGGTCAAGGCCTCGGTCCTTGACCCATGTCATCTTGACATCTACGAAGAAGCATCGTTGCAGGTAAAGGTGCGGGAGAGAGAATGGGGTTTTAGTTTGAGAGCAGGGGTTTCTAGAGAGAGAGAGGAAGGTTTTGGAGAGAATGGTGAAGGTTGGAGAGGGAGAGATGAAAGCCTGAGAGAAAGAGGCAGAGGTTTCAGAGAAACAGGAGGAGATTGAAGAGAGAGAAATGGGTGTTTTAGAGAGAGAAAGGATTAAGGAGCGAATGAGGGGCTTCTGGAGAAGCATGGTTCTAGAGAGAGAAGAAGAAGGAGGCAGAGAGTGATGACAGTGGTAGTGTGGCGCCCATGTCTGCGGTTCCGCGGCTTCCTTTTAAGGGCGGGTTTGATAACCGGAAGGTAAATGTTCCTTGGAAATTGGAATTTCTTTTTTGCTAAAAAAGAAAAAGTTACTGTATAACCTGCTGGAATGTTAAAGAAGTTTTGGGTAACGTTAAAGAAGTTATGGGTATCTGTCTTGGACAATCTGGTGGAATATAAAGAAGTTTTAAGTTACATAACAGGCCTTACACTGTAGTCTACACAGACAAAATAACGATGTAATCTACACAAACAAAATACTCTTTAATCAGTAACATAACAGGCCTTACTCTGTAGTCTACACACACAGACAGAATAACCATATTATTATTATTATGTGTTTATCAAACATCATTAGAAAAGACCAAAAGAGAGTATCAAACATCTAAAGCTATGTTAATATCGATATATTCATTGTGAGGATATGAAGGGCCAGTTTTCAACTGATAACATACTATAAACTGTATAATCGTCAGCAGCATTGACATTATAATGGTGAGCAACATTGACATTCTTTTTTGGATAGTTCAGTCATATGAAAGAGTTATACAAACTTTAGAAGCAATAAACCTTTAAATATTTAACAATTACCCCAGTCACAATCATAACTAAAATTCACCTCAATCATCAAAGATAATCAATTTTCTCTCATTCAAACTTCATGGCAATGATTTTTTATGTTTTTCCTAGAAAAACTATTCTATACATCAAATAGTCAGTATTAATTAAATTGAATATTGGATTCTTTAACCATTTCCTGCACTAAAATTCCACAACAAACTCAAAAAATTTCCTGCTGATTTCCTTGAGAAATGTTGTTATTTGCAAAAAATTCCAGTCAATCTATAACAAGTTGTTTTTTTTTTGGTTCGCTGATTCTATAACTACATTCCCTATGCTTGATATTGAAAAATAAAAAGTAAGCTTAATCTAAACCTATGGCAAAAAGGAAAGCAATATTGCAATTTTTTTTCTTTCTTTTCTTCACGACCAACAAAAGAACTATCAATGAAGAAAAAAAAAAAAGCTAACCATGAATCAAATTTAAGCAATCTCATTGATTATCTCATTTTCAGATGATAGCAATCATAAAAAAGAAAAAAAGAAAAAGGGGACACCAAATGGTTATGATTGTCACCTGTGTAGTAGAAGAAACTAGATGAAAAGAAGAATTAGAAAATGAGATAACTGTGAAATTTAGCTGGAGTGGAGAGAGGAGGGCTTGAAGGGAGGGTTGTGGGGCAAGGTTTCTACATAGAACTGTTTACCAAAAAAAACAGCCAAATTATTTTTTCACTACAAAGAACAATTTACCACAAAACAATATTAGAGAAAACCCTAGATTCATTTTCACCATGTTCGGAACCTAGAGAAGAAATCAGAGAGACCAAGCAAACTATGGGATAGAGAAAAAACTAGAGAGAGAGAAAAAAACCAGAGAGAGAAAAAACTGAGATGTACCTTTGTGAGGAGGCTCGTAGGCTTGTCTCTGCTCTGTGGTTAGGGCAGTCGGGGGCAAGCAAATACCCTCTTCTTCGCTAGGGCAGTCGGGGGTGGGTAACTTACTTTTACCCTTCAGCGAGGTTCCCTTTTCAAGTTCCGTGTTGTTACATGGCCTATTTGATAACTGGAAGGTAAATGTTTTCTGGAAATTGGAAGTTCTTCTTTGCTGGAAAGAAAGAAGTTACTGTAAGAAGTTCAGGGTTTCTATATTTGATAACTTGCTGAAATGTTAAAGAAGTTCTAAGTATATGTGTTTGATAACGTGCTGGAAGATTAGGAAGTTTTGGATCTGTGTTTGATTAGTTGTAGAAGTTATAGGTAAGATGTCAAATCTTAAGGTTGAGACCTAGAAAATATTAATTTTTTAATGGGATTTGATAGTGGAAACATTGGTAACAAGCAACTGAATTTACTTAAAAACAGATTACAAACACTAGAACAATAAGATAGGTTATTTAAACAACGTAATAGAGAGGATAGTACTATGACCTAGCAATATGCATACAATCTCCATACAGAACAACTATCACCATCAGAACTCCAAATCTATACTGCTAATACAAACATAATCAAGTAAATCTCGATGAAATTCATATTGTAAAAGAAAACCAGTTAATCAAAATCGAAAGAAAAAAGATCCAGCAAATGCATCAATCAGAGAACCACATACCCTTTACAAATATACCAAATAGACCTGAATTCCTCACATAGGTGAAACACAATACCCCATCTTATAAAACTCCAAATCAACATGGTAAGTCTAGAAAATCCACCGAAAATTCTAAATCATCAAAGCATGGCCTGAAAAGATCTAAATTTGGTCCGATATATGCGGTAAAGAAGCATCACGCATAACACTTAATCGAAACTGAGATACATAGATACCATACTTGATAAGCAGAATCCATTGTGGACAAACCCTAATTTGCAGAGGAAGGGATTAGCCATAAAAATTTGCATAATCTCGTAAATTTTCTACCATGCCAAAGAACATATCCCCAACTAGCTGAATTTTGTCTTAGTGAAGAAGAAAAAAATTTGCACAGGCTCTTTTCTTGCAATAGATATATTTCCCTTGTTGGTATAGACAGGTGATAAACGAGGTAGAGTAAGCAAGTATAGTTTCTGACTTTTTGCCAATAACTAGTAGTTGTATCAAACATAAAAGAGGAGATATTGAAGATCAAGAATATGGTGATCCTGTGAACTGCCATATTTCAATACCATACGTAGACAATAATGATGCCGCTCAAGAATTGAACAAATAAGATACTATCCCTTGCACCTATCAATAGGTGAAAAAGAAGTCATGCTGGAATAAACTATTCACTGCATAACAAAACTGAGTGGAATGATTTGGGCTAGGGTAACAAACCTCATAAAAAAAAACAAAACTTTAGGACCAGATAATTCCAAATGCATGTCCAGTGGGATAAAACATTTTTTAGAAATGATCTAGAGAGGTAAACCCAAATGCTTGTACCTTTAAACCAGTGAGACAAACCATTTTCTAGAAATCGCCTAGACAGATAAACCTGAATGGCTGTCCCTTTAAACAACTAGATGGAAGTTGGTGAAACTCTAGAAAGAGAGACTGAGCGATCTTTCTTCTCAATACAGAGAGAGAGATGGGAAGAATACCATTTTCTAGAAATGGAGAAAGACAGAGAGAGAGGAGTGAAGTACCTGGTGAAAATGGCGAGGAAGGAAGAAGAGAGGCTGGTTGAGTTGCAGGCGAGAGGCTCTGGCGCGGCTGAGCTGCGAACAGAGGGGTGAAGAAATTTTTTTGGGGTGACAGTTTTATCGGGCGACCTTCAAATACGAAGTTTGTTTTCTAAGTTCCCTGGTTTTCCAAGGAAATTTTGTGAGTAAAGGTGGGAGAGCTTAAGGAGGCGAAAACAGCGAGGGTTTAAGCCCAGTTGAACTTAACATAGGCCAAGGGTTTTAGTATGGTATAGAATTATGGGTGTGGTTTCAAGGTTGCAACCTTAAACAATCCAATTAAGGTGCACTTTCAAATTTTATCATGAAATGACAATTAAGGTGCACCTCCAAATTTTATCATGACATGTAATTTTGATATAATTTTTTTTTAGGATTATCTTAAAATCTATTTTCCTCTCTACTTGTAAAATTTGAAACTCTAACAATGATTAAAATCAAGTAGATCTATAAATATATGAAAATTTTGAAAATGAACTGTCCAGATAATGTGTTGCAGATGTACTATTTTTGGGACTCAAAATCTTTTTTTTTTTTTATATTCATACATCTCGATGTGGAGATGATCGATTTGAGGGTTTTTAACATTAAAACAACCTTTTCTGATAGATTTTTGGGGTGCACCTGTAATTCTACATTTTAAAATTGCAACATTGTATAAACTTTTTCCTGTATTAAAAAGTATAGGACCCGGTTTTTATGTGGCCAAGCCCGCATATGTAGAATTGCGGACCTCTCAATAAAGCTATTTTGAGATGGATTTTAAGACCTGATTTTTATTACTAAAATTGATTTTATTTTTGGCCATTGGACTACTTGTTTTCCCAGTTCCCCCTTTGATTGATCTCGAAATTCAAAACTAAAAAGTAGTGTAACTAGATAATCACATAGATGTCAAGCACTCAAATTTACAAAATTCTCCCATATCAATTAAAAAATAAAAAAAGATTTAACAGTCTACTGGAAAAAGGAAAAAAAAAAAAGAACAAAGAAAATATATAACAACAGACGTGGATGCACGTATATATAGACAGTTCAGAAGTTGGCATCTGAAGAATTTTCATCTTTGAACAAAAGATGATGGATAGCTGAAGATATATCATTTCTATGCAAGTTCTAGTCATTTTCTTGGTATTTCAAGATTATGGCAAAGCTTCTATAAGAAATAAAGCAAGTGAAACAAAGTGGTCATACCCTTCAGTATAATCAGCCTGTAGAAGGTCCAGATATGTATCCCATTTATTACCAATCACCTGCAAAAGCCAACCAGATCAAAACCATCAAACTACAATAATAAATAAATAAAATAAAATAAAACAAAACAAAACTGATTAGTTGATGAAAACAAGGAATGATGACCTTCTAGTGATTACATGGAACCAATCCTAAAACCATATAGTAAAAGTAAAGTTCACATTGGCCCAGAAGTTATTGTAATTACTATTGCAGGAAAAATCAAAACGTAAGCCAATAGCAAGCAAAAGAAAAACTTCTCCCCAAACCCTAAGGTAAACCAATAGCAAGCAAAATTAAGAGATCCTTATTATAATACATGAGACGGCCCTCTGCAAATAAATCCCACATAGGAAAAGAATCCAATGAAACTAGAGAGAAAAAGAGAGAGATTCTGGCAGGGGAAGCAACTAATACCATGAATTCGAAAAAAACCAATGTAGAGAGATAGAGAGAAAGAGAAACCTTGCCGCAGGTGAAGCAGCGCACAGGGATGATCATTTTGATGCCCTAATTGCAGCACCTCTCCACCTTGAGACACTGATTTCTACAAAATACAAATGGGCAAGCTTTCTATGCTTCCCCTACGTCTTTCTCTACCTCTAAATTTCCTATCTCTGTCGAGCCTTTATATATACTCGGTTCTTAAGCTCTGCTCCTTATTCCTACTATTTCCTCCACTCTTGAACCCTCTCAAATTTCTCTCCTCTGTCTCTCTAAATAATCTCTCTCTCTCTCTCTCTCTCTCTCTCTCTCTAGATTCTGTGATTATCTGTGCATTTAGGAAGAGATGGCTTTGAAGCTTTCCCTTCCTTTACAATCTTCTTTCCCAAGTCTAGCGTTTCGACGTGAACCTTCTTTCATGTCCTTCTAATTGTTCTGAACTTTTTTTTGTTGCCGTAAGTGAGAGGGGTATAGGCCCCTGCCCGTTTTTCATTAACTAAAAAGAAAATGGTTTGATTCATCTTATAACTCATGAAAAATTGTATTTCAAGTATCATAAAACTTTAATGGTTGTAAAAAAAATTTAGGATTTCGAGCTTTAAAAATTATTCTATATTATAACAAATTATCTTAGACCGTCCTCTCCGCTTGAACGTTATGGTTGTGAAAAAATTTAAGATTTCAAACTCTAAAAATAGTGCATATATAACAAATTATTTAGACAATCCATTTTGCCCTAAAAAAAATATTCACAGATCCGCAAGATCTGAACCATTTTTTTTAGCTTCAAATTTTATTGTCAGTATTGAAAGTAAAATTTAAAGTCATGACACCTCCAAATTTTATCATAACTAAATTTTTGGTGTAAAAAAATCTTTGGATTATTTAAAAATCTATTTTCATATCTAATTATATAAGTGATTAACATATGGGCCTTAAAATCTTTTCTAAAATATGAAATGCTCTGTTTATAGGAAAAAATTACAAATAAGGTCAGTCAACCAATCTTCCTTTTTTTTCTAAAATTACCCTTTGGTCTGAGGATAAAATCCTCAGTCCGAATATTTTTTTTCTTTTTTTGTTTTTTCGGTGGTTGGCCAATGCCCCAAGCTTTAGGGTAGTGCCCTACTAATGAGAAAACAAAGAAAAAAGTAAAGAAAAATTGTTTCATGTGGGATGGACCACATTTCTACAATATATAGTCCCAAGGTATAAAGCATTTGCATCTTAAAGATGGATGCAAATAGGTGATCTATCTAAAAACAATTTTAACTAATGGTCCAAATGTTTTTTTAATATAATTATTAGTTCTAATTTTCAAAACTCATTTATTTTTCATATTCATAATCTCCATGTTAGAGACTTCATGTCCTTAAAAATTAAGTTAAAAAATCCATCACAAAAATAGATTTTTAAGAGGTGACTCATTTATACATAGACTCATAGAACTGCGTCCAAATTAAAATGGGAAAAGTTTATATAGAGCCGAGGCTCTAAACAATCAAATTTGAGCTTATGTCAAAAAGTTAACTAGAAGAGGTTGTTTTGATGCTCAAATATCTTCAAATTGATCATCTCGGCATCAAGATGCATGAACATGAGAAAAAAATGGATTTCAAGTTTTTGAAATAATGTATTTTGTAACTCATTGTTAGACCGTCAATTTTTAAGATTTCAAGTTTTCATAGATCTGTTGATCTACACTATTTTTTAAGCTTTGAACTTTATAAATAAATATGAAAATATATTTTAAGGCTATCAAAAAGATTTCCAATAGTAAAACCACATTTCTCGACACTATTTGAAGGTAGGCTTTGATTTGATTGTTTAAAGCCTAAGCTCTATACAAACCGCACCCAATTAAAATTTGGTTCGAAATCCGAGGATGTCTGAGGACCGAGGGGTACTTTTAGAAGATTATAAATCGACATTCTTTGTACTTTTCACCTATAAATTAAGCATTTCATATTTTAAAAAAAATTTTAAGTTATGTACGTAAATCATTCTTATAAAATTTTAAACTCCAAAAATGGTTAGAATCAAGTAGATTTATAAGCATATGAAAATTTGGAAAATAGACGGTTTAGATAATATGGTGTAATATGCATTATTTTTAAGATTCAAAAAAAAGAAAAATTAAATTAAATTAAAAAGTTTTTCAATGTTTTTTAATAAATTTATAGATACCCCAAAACAAACTTTATAACATTATCCGCAATATTTTTTGTACCACATATCACCCCGATATGTTTGTTATTGTATTTAGCCCCTCAATAAAAAATAAAAAAAAAACCAATAAATTTAGAACTAAAATGCCCTTACCCTCTTTCCCAACCCTCGTTCTCTATTTCTCCCCATCTCTATCCGGCAGAAAATGAGCTTTTTGTTTTTTTTTTTCTCTGCCCATCATCTCTCTCTACTCACCATCTCTCTCTACCAACCCCCTCTCTCTCCTCTCTCTCTCTTTCTCTCTATACCTGCACTCTCCACAGTATTCCCACTAAAATATTATCTCTCTTCAGGTTGAGGGGACCTAAATCGTAAGTTTTGAGGCAAATAATCAAGATCTTCATAAGCTGCTTTTTTTGCAGCAATTTTGCAAACTACCCTTTGTGCAAACTCTGGTTTTTAATGGGTTGAGAGAGGTTTCTTCCCTTTTTCATTTCATGGGTTTTCATCACCATTGATCCACAAGCTAAAGCTGTAAAATGGCAGAGTGACTACTAGTTTTGATTATAGATTTTTGTTTAGATTGGTTTTCTAATGTCTTTGCTCTCTCAGAGAGTAGAAGAGGAAGAAGGTGGCGAAGAAGTGTCAGTTAAGCTCAGCTGGGGTGCTGCAACCATTGTTTTAATGTTTCAAACCTTCTGCTTCTCTCACACCTCTTTCTTCTCTCTATTCTTGTGCTGTTGAGCTTCTGGTGAAGCTCCTATTGGATTATTGGTGTTGGGTTTAGAGTGTCATACAAAAAAATATATCGGAGGTTAGGATGCCTACAAAGTGGATTTTGGGTATCTATAATTTCCTCAAAGAAAAAGTTTATATATAGCCGAGACTCTAAACAATCGAACTAGTGCCCACCTCAAAAATTTTGAGGTTGTTTTGATGTTCAAATATCTACAAATTGATCATCTCGACATCAGGATGCACGTAGAAGAGAAAAAAATGGATTTCAAAATTAGAAATAGTGCATATTGTAACGATTTTCAATATTTTTAAGTTTTTGCTCCAACGACACCATTTTCTAAGCTTTAAATTTTGCAATTAAATATAAAAATATATTTTAAGTCTCTCTCGCAGTAGATGCGGGAATTGCTCGCCGATAGTTTGTGACGGCAGTTGGCTGCTACCCTGTGAAATGCCCACGGAGTCCTGCAGCGCCCTTGAATAGCATTTACAAGGAAGGACGAATCGCTTTCAATTTGGAGAGAAAAACATTTGAGTTCAAGGGCCAGATCAATGCCCATAAAATTACTTTTTGCATCTTGTTTATTGGTAGCTTGAAAAGGAAACCTTATTGGAGCTTTGGGTTTTTGTTTTTCTCGCTCGTAACCTTTTCTGGTTGTTTCTCTGAGATTTTGGTTTATGGGTTATCTGAGCTTTAATGGGGTTCTCCCATTTCTTTTCTTCCATCTGTTGGAATTCTGATTTACTTATTGGGGAAGTTTTGAGTTGGAATCAATGTGTAGAATGCCTTCGTGTTTTTTATCGTTTTTTCTGATTATTTTGCAGAGTGAGTAGTTGATCCATTGATGGATTGGAGATTAATTTGCTCATTGTTAATATTGTTCCTCATCATGCTGATGCGAGGATTTCTCTCTCAAATCTGTACAATTTCGATCAGATGTTGATTTTATGGAAGGATTTGTGATGGGGATCATTTTTTATTTCTAGATTTTCCCATGCATGCATTTGATAGTTGTGGTTTTAAATCTTTGAGTATGTCTAGACAATCTCTCTCTAGCCCTCTGAGAAGTATTGGTGTATAGGTAATATTTGTTGGGACTCAATATTGTGTTCAATTATTTTTGGATTTTTCTTTTTTGGGGAAGTGATGCTCCAAATTTGTATTGTCATAATTTGAGGAAGTATGGGTTTTGTTTTTCTTTGTATTTCTCTTTTGAGAAACTAAGGCATGCAAATTGTTTTTGGTGGTTTTTCATGTAAGATTTTGAGGAACTTTTTCTCCTGGTGTGCTTTTGGTACTTAATGCTTTAATCTATTTTATTGCGAAGAGCGATGTTATATGGACTGAGGGGAATATAGTCTACTGAGAAAGCATAACTTGTTCATTTAGTCTCCTTCAAATGTTTTTCCCTTCAAAATGATGGTTTATGATTTATATTTAAACCTCGAATTTATATGAGAATATGTTGAGGTTTACGTTTTCCGATAATTGATTATGTGCAGTTTAATTTTATTTTACGTTTTTTACTGTGAATTTCTGATCCACATAATTTGTAATTGGATGTGAGAATATGCAAAACCGGTGTTTTTGGTATTTATTTATAATCTTCTATGAGATAATTATTATTTTCAAGAACATATGGAGTAGAAACCATTTAAGTAATTATTTTTGTTTGAAAAAAAATGGAATTCGATCTGGATTTTTGATTGATAACGATCTGGTTTGTTTTTCAGGGATATTGGTATTTGTTTTGTTCATCATTCTTTTTGAAGTGTTTATAGTTCATGGATAATATATAGACGAATCAAATAAAATCTCTTTCTTCTAAAAAATTTTGTGTCGGCCATTTGAGCTGTGTTTGATGATAATATGAGCTTCTTTTTTGTGCAGGGAGATTGACAATCTTAAGAAGTATGTCAATCCTCGAGAAGTGCATGTTCAAGTGACCCATTCGATGCCTCCCCAAAAAGTTGAGATCTTTAAATCCTTGGAGGATTGGGCAGGTCACAATATCTTGGTCCACCTGAAAGCTGTAGAGAAGTCATGGCAGCCTCAGGATTTCTTGCCTGACCCATCTTCTGAGGGTTTTCTCGATGAAGTGAGGGACCTAAGGAAGCAGGCTGAGGAAATGCCAGATGATCACTTTGTTTGCTTGGTTGGAGAAATGATCACTGAGGAAGCTTTGCCCACCTATCAGACAATGCTTAATACCCTCGATGGTGTTCGTGATGATACTGGGGCAAGCCCAACTTCTTGGGCACTTTGGAACAGGGCCTGGACTGCTGAAGAGAACAGGCATGGTGACCTTCTAAACAAGTACTTCTACTTATGTGGGAGAGTGGAAATGAGGCATATCGAAAAGACGGCTCAGTATCTTATTGGGTAAGGAATGGTGAGCTTCAAAGTCATTGCTGCATACATTAAGATTTTGTTTTGCCTTGTCATAACTGTAAAAACAAAAAGCAATTCACGAAAATTAGAAAGAATAAATAAACGAGACAACCAACCACAACGCAATGATATACGTGGTTCGGCAATATGCCTATATCTACGGGAGATGAGAACTTCTTTACTGGCAATGGAGAATAGGGTTACAAAAAGCTCTCTTCTTCATGCGTCTCTGATTACATAGCAATCTGCGTTTTTCCCTTAACCCTAGATAAACCCCCAATCGCATCGAGTTTCAAATAAATGATATAAATTACTGAAATACCTTTGTACGGAGCAATGACTTTGAAGCTCATGTACGGATATATGTGGTTTTGCCTTGTCATTACTCGACGGATTTGGCCCATGTACGGATATATCCAAATTTTTCTTCAGGGGCTGCCGCCCCAAACCCCACATGGGCCAAATCCGTCGAGTCAATCTATCAGAACGATTCCTTCGAGCCTCAAGCCCTACGGGTCTTCAGCTCTCCGGAGTCGTCTTTTTTACTCCACCTTAGCAAATCTATTTCTTCAGAATACAAGACATCAATCATCAACAATTATTGCATTTAAGATTTTATTTTGCTTTTCTTTTGGTTTTGTTGATTGCTTGAGGTATGGGTTTGGATTTCATTAGCTCACCGTTGATACCTAAGAGCTCAAAACTGCAATTCAGTAGTTGTTTCTCAAATGGTCCTTGAAACATGGAGTAGATACTTATTATATAGAATTAGTTTGGTTTGTTTTGTTTTCTCATTCATTTTCAGAAAAATGCATGAATTGTTTATGAGCATGTGATGAAAACATTTGGTTGTTGACTTTGCAACAGCATAACTTGTCTAACAGAAATGGTTTTCTTTCATATACAAGTTTTTTGTATAACAGAAAATGGTCTCTTGGTTTTTGTATTCCCCTCTTGATTTCTAACCGATCATTTAGTTATCGGTATTCCTGTGATCATATGGACTGTAATTTGTTGAAACAGTACTTAAAAGTTGACATTTTATTATTTTTCCACCATCTGCAGGAGATATAGCCTAGAGTTTATCGAGTTAACCTTGTTCTATATCTTACGGATGTTTACCATTTTTAGTTTTAGTTTTAGTTTTATTATTTTAATTTTAAGTTTCTCCTTAATATAAGGTCCAGAGTTTAGTAGTTTGTAAATACAAGCAAATCCTCACCACGTCCAAGGAACACAACATGCATGGGAAAAAAAGCCATATTGCTCTAAGCAAATGATCCTGCTTTGTTGCTTCTATGGAAGTTAGGCGCTTTGATTTGGGTCGAATCTGTTTATTTTATTCTTTGTTAAATTTCCAAACCAATAGCTTGAAATGTTGAATGGTGGTCCCGTGGTTTTTGTCAATTCTGCTTTGGTAAATGTTTAATTGTGTTGGGTATTGCTATTTCAATCTTGTTTTGTTGAGAATTTTGGCTAATTATCGTTTTGATTGTTCTTTATGTCGTCATATCTTCAAACCAAGCTTCAGTTTTTGGATTTCATTGGTTTTCTTCCCTTTAATTTCCTTATTGATGGTAACCAGAAATTTTTATTAATTGGTTTTCTTCCTTTTCATTTTTCTTTTTTGATGGTAACCAGAAATTTTCATTAATTGGTTTTCTTCCTTTTTATTTTCCTTTCTTTTTATGGTAACCAGAAATTTTCATTAAGTGGGGTTTGGCCATGTAGCGTAGTGGTAGGGACTTGTTTTTACCTTTCCTTATTGTGCATTGAATGTATGTGTATCTGTCCAAACAAACATAATTTTGTATTATTAAGAAAAGAAAGTGTTATATTTTTGAAGTGTGAATCACTTCTATAAGCCAACAGGTTTGTAGCTACAATATGAGCTGAGCTCCAGAAATTTGCATTAATTTGTTTTCTTCCTTTCATTTTCCTTTTTTGATGGTAACCAGAAATTTTCATTCATTGGTTTTCTTCCTTTTTTATTTACCTTTTTTTATGGTAACTAGAAATTTTCATTAAGTGGGGTTTGGCCATGTAGTGTAGTGGTAGGGACTTGTTTTTACCTTTCCTTATTGTGCATTGAATGTATGTGTATCTGTCCAAACAAACATAATTTTGTATTATTAAGGAAAGAAAGTGCTATATTTTTGAAGTGCGAATCACTTCTATAAGCCAACAGGTCTGTAGCTACAGTATAAGCTGAGCTCTAGAACCTGAGAGAATTATTTGGCTGAAAATTTTCACATCTTTGGTTTTAAAAATAAAAAATTAAAAAAAAGAAAAATATTTCGAGATCTTGATGGCCTGATCCACCATTGTCAAAATGGACTGCCTATGGTCATAGAAAATAACGGACTTATTTTCTCCATTCTTGTTGTGCAAATTCATTTTTTTTTCTTTTTTAATTTTGATCGCCTAAATGCGGTCTATTTGTGTTCCAAAGACGTCCACCAGACCTCTACTTTCCGAAGTGGCTTACGTTACAATATACGCCTGTTCCTATATAACAATTTTCCTTTTGAAATTTAATTTTGTCCATGCTTCAGGTGTTAATTTGTCCATTTTGCTGAGAATTATTTGGAATAAAAGTAAAAATTATTCAGAAATTTTCATTTCAGAAGTAAACAAAAAGAGAATGAGATTCACTGTATATTTCGGGCTTACTAGGCCACGTGCACAGGCCTTAACAAGTAACCTGAACCCAACCTGAAAACAGGCCCTGCAAAAAACCAGGCCGAGGCCTATTAACAGGCCTAATAGAGAAAAGGAATGAAGAAGATGGAATAACCCAAGGTTAACATTGCTAAGCCATTAAATCATATTGGCCTAATGAGAAGATCCATATCTTAAACAAATAGTTATGAAAAAAACTGTTATCTCGATATGAAAATCTTTACTACAACCATTCATCCAGATCCAAAATTTGATGAAGTGCATAAATAAATTGTTTAGGAACAAAATTGTGAGTTTTATGTGCAAAGATGAGATGGTTTAATTGCCCCCCTGAAATTGAATCTCTGGGGTTGTATTTCAACTAACAACCACTCAAAAGCTATGGAGAATCATTGGCTCAGATAATGGTTCAACGACTAGAGAAGGATGAGAGGCTATGCAACATGTCATGGAAACCAATGCCTTCTCCACCTCCATTGATGCATTCTTGTTCAACAGGTAGACTATGTACTCCATCACAAATGACTCGCAAGGCAAAGTTAGAGGATGACACCCTGTGAGTCCAAACTCTTCTCCAGCCATCAGGAGCAACTCCCGAAAGATGCGGTGGTTAAGAAAGGCTAAGGGAATCATGAATCGGCGTCTATCTATTGTATAAATCACAAAATGACCCTCAGCAACAACTAAATCTATTTGATTACCAGTATTGCTTTTGAGGAATATTCTCCTCCTCTGACTCCTAGCTTTCTTATGCGTGCTATCTCCAAGAGCCTCTTTGAATTAATCATGGGTGAATACAAAATTTAGATGAACTTATAGAACTTGCCGTCCGTACGATTGGAAAATTTAATGGATGAGATTCTATATGGCTTGACAAAGATGCAATATACGTAGTGAATCTCCAAGGTCAATTTACAATATACAATATTCCTATTATGGTTAGGGGACCCTTTCCGGGCTGAACTACCCACAAAAAAAAAAAAGGCAAAAAAGAAAAGAAATCTTAAAGGCTAAATCACCATCAAAGTTTGTCCTTCGTAGAAAAGGCATGATGGTTCCCTATTCCATGAAAGATCATTTGCTCTCAAAATTCTAGATTGCTTGAACAACAATATGTTAGGATTGATATGTTAGGAATGGCGATGGTCAAAATCACCATACATATGTTTTCTTCAAAAGATTCAGGGTATTATGGTAAAAAAAATAGGCTTTCTTAATGAGCAAGAAAGAAGTCTCAATAGAGAGAGATGGCCTCTTAAAGAGAGATGGTATTCTCATGGGATTTTGGATTGGTTTAGTGTCTACTTCTAGAGAGAAGTCTCTTGGCTGCTCTCAAGGTGTTCTTTTCAGTAGTGGTGATGAGAAAAATGAGGATGATTGACGTGTTGCTCGATCAGGAAAGTAGATTTAGAATGGAAAATTCATGAGGTTTTTGATGATGTTTAGAGATAGATATATCTCTTTTAACCCAAAATTATACTCTTCATTGAGATAATGAATTTTTACTTGTCGAGGCCATGGCCGTAGTCCTACAGGGTGAACGGCATAAATCGTGTCATTCTAGTGTGTTTTTTGTTTTACTGTATTTTTTACACTCAATTTATGATTGTGTTCATCTATTTCGCATTTAGTCGAGTTTGTACATTATCTTGAGTGGGATGCAGATATTTAGGATTGGTAATTCCGTAAGCTAGAGATCCCAAAGATGTGACACAGCATACGTATATCACATGCAGTTACGCTCAATTTGCTATTGATTTTTGGTAGGCGCTAAGGGTTTTGTTCTTCCTTCCCCACATCCGTCTTTTAAATTGCCTCATATAAAACTAGACGATGATTTTGAAAAATGATGAAGTTTCTATAGGGCCTAGGCTTTATGAAAATAAAATAAAGCCTCACCTCAAATCCTCATCCGGAAAGCACGTTTGGCATCGAAAATTTCTATAATGACTTTAAAATCAATTTCAAACAGCGACAATAAAATTTGAAACTAAAAAAACGTACAAATCTTCTTGATTTGTGAACAGGGGCAAAATGGATGTTCTACATGATTTGTTGCAATGTACACTGTTTTTTAAAAATTTGAAATCCTTATTTTTTTCAAGTTAGAGAGTCATTACTTATTTGATAGAGTTGCAGCCCTATCAAACCATTTTCTTTTGAAGTTTGTTTCTTGAATTTTGCTGCTAAAGTTAGGGGGAAAAGTGGAAAAATAGTTAAGATGGTTTTTTACTTTATTTTGATTTAAATAATGATTTAAAAACAAGAATTTGGGCCTAATTCGCTACGGTCTGATTCTAATTATCCTGATTCCAATTGGGTAATTCTCAAGTCAGATAGTTCTACAACAACCTTTTTTTTAAAAAAATCAAACATCACAAAGATTAAGACCAAGCTGTGCACCTACCAATCCCAATCTGATTAGCATTCCAAGACCCATCTACAATTAAAACATTACCTATGTTTTGATAGTCGATTTTAAATGTGGCCTTCAAATCCCAAATCATTTTATCCTCTTTAAGAAAGATATAAGATAATGCTAGTATTTCCCTAGAAGGAAGTACGCTACAATTCGATAACCTCATAGGAATTAGGGGTGGCAATGGATCTGACCATACCCGTTAGTAGATCTAACCTCAGGTCCGGGTATGGGTCCATATTTTGGACCCGACTACTATTCAGGTCTAGGGCTGGGTCCAACAGGGCCCGAACTGTACCCGTAGTCATCGGATATATGATGGCAATCATGTATTTTTAGGAGGGCTCTAGGTTTCATATTGTCACAATAAATATTATTGGCCAAAAAATAAAAAGGAAGCTCATGGTTAAAAAAAAAAGAAACTAAAAAAGAAAAGAAAAATCTTATAGTTATAAGGTGGCAATGGATTCGACCCGACCCGGGACTTGACGGGTCTGGTATGGGTCCCAATTTTGGATTTGAATACTATTCGGATCCGAGTCCAACCGGACCCGACCCCGTTGCCACCCCTAATAGAAATCACTCCCTCTAGGGTTACCTAGAAATTCTAGTATCACTTATTCGGTGCCTCTACATGGTTTAGTGCTTAAGTGGGTGAAAGTGATGTAATTATAGTGCTTACTGGAGATTAAAACGTTTAACAAAGCACTTAGGCAGTTAAATGCAATTCACTTTACAGAAAGGAAAACTGCACTAAAGCTACCAAACCGATTTGGGAAATGAATTAAGAAAGAAAACCGCATCACATTTAACACACATTAAATGTTAAGCCCTCTGCTTAACCCATGAATAGTTTTAATACAGATTCCCTCTTCTCACTGCTCTCAACAAACAAGGTCAAGAAAGACAGAGGCTAGCAGGCCAAAGAGACATAGAAGAGAGCGAGAGGGAGAGTATTCAGCATGAGGACAGAGAATGTGTCTTGTGATAATGGTGGCCATCTGCATGCTAGGCGAGGCTGCGGCAGCACGTGTGATCAAGGCAGCAGCCCAACCAGTTGCACCACCATCGGGAGTTCCGCGAAGCTACAAGTGCTGGAATGCATACAATGAATTCGCTTATGAGATACTGGCTTACTATGATGAAGCAATTCTACCGAGCGAGAGGATTTGCAAAGCATTTGAAGCTCTCAATCCGAATTGCTTCCCTGCGATGTTTATTGACTTTGGTCTCGACTTGGGTACCGCTAAGAGACTGAAAGTCTACTGCGATGCGGGTGCCGCTCCCGCACCTCAGCCTTCTGCATGATGAGTGGCCTGGATTCGCTGTTTTGGCTAGAGAATGGATGGTTGATGTGCTTTCTTTCTTCTTCTGCTTTTTTGTGAGACATGCTCGTAGGTTTTTGCGTGGCTATGGCTGAGGCTTCTCTCTTTCTTCTTTTTGTTGGGCTTCTGTTATGGCATGTTAATGTTGCAGTAGCAATGGAATATTAATGTCGTATGACACACTTAAAAAGAGTACGCCTTATCAATATTTAAGAGAAATTTATATGCTGACTCTAAATTTTAGATAAAATACTAAATGCTCCACTTATATTCAGAAATTACAAAAACTGTAAAGAAAGTTAATCAATGTACTTTTTTTTTCTTATTTTCTAAAATTGCCGATTAACTTGAATTTAAATTTTTTTAATTTTTTTATTAGTAAGGCAGTGCCCCAAGCTTTAAAGTACTGACCTACTAACTAAAAAACTAAAAATAAATAAATACATCAAATTTCAAGCTAACCAAAGGGTAATTTTGAAAAATATAAAAAAAATGGATCGATTGAAATTCTTTGTAATTTCTACATATAAATAAAGCATTCCGTATTTTATCTAAAATTTTAAGATCCGTACATAAATCACTCATATTTCAAGGAAAGATTCTTACTTTGTTTATATTGCATTCCTAATTCTTTTACATGTTCTTCTTTTGGGGAAAACTCTATATGTTGCTGACAATCGTATAATTTCACATTTAAATTGTATCTTCGATCTGACGGCCATGGGCTAACTAAAAACTTTTGCCCCAATTCCGAAACTGTTGTTATCATTGAGTAACGCAGCAGAAAATATCACACGCACAACAAGCACCCCGTGCACATTCCAAAACATAAAAATAAAATCACGCAAACAGCAGATTTCACACGCACATCAAATCTGGAGATAGAACTTTACTACACATCAAATCTGGAGATAGAACTTTAATTCATTAATAAAATATAGGGAAAATATAGATCTTATGTATAGAGCAAGCATTGGCTTTAAAGACTTTCGTGTCTTCTCCTAAAGAGAAGAGTGACCACGGATTTGACTCTGAGCGTCTTCTCATAAAGAGAAGAGTGACCACAGATTTGACTCCAAGCAGCTTTATACTGGACAAATTGAACCGATCATGTCTCCTTGTACTTATCGTCGCCATAGATCAATTGAGGCCCGAGTGCGCTTGTCTTTCTCATTGAGTCGAGCGACAACTAAAGGAGCACAAAAGAAAGAAGAGTGACGTGAATTTAGAACCATAGCCAAAAGCCTTTCTTGCTTATTTATGAGCCGGACCTAGCTTTTACTTCAAAAAAAAAAAAACAAAACAAAAATTGAAGATATTGTTTACCTATTTTTTAAAAAAATCTATTCGACCAAACCAGCTTTGTTAACGGTTCGCCTATTTACGACCTTCCGGTTGACCGTTCCGGTTTGATTTTCCAAAGACCTGAATAGATGGAAAGAGAAGGGTTGGAAATTATACCGTGTGTTTACAAAGGGCTTTAACGTAAATGCAAGGGATGGAGTTTCAAAACCATAGGGATTTCATCGACATTTGGATTATTGAAAGGGGCATTCACATTGGCTAATATGGGCCGTGTGGGTAGGTGGGAAAAGCCGTGCGAAGCCGATGGGTTAGGTGGGAAAAGCGCTTCGAAGCCTATGGGTTAGGTGGGAAAAGCACTTCGAACCTCTCGAAGTACGTGACTATCTTCTATGTCGTAGGTGTTAAAAGTACGAAAACGATGCTAGCTCAGTCGGCGGCACAATTTCAAGTCAGTTTTCTCCCATGGCACACTCCCGCGGGATCAATCTGTAAATTGCCTTCTCGTACAAGGAGCAACATGGGAGTTTTTTTGCTTTTTTTTTAAAATTTGAGTGACTCATTTATTAATGATTTTTTCTTTTTGTAAGAATCTAATTCACGAGTACGTGCTTTTCACCCGTGATTTAAAAAAACCGATCGGTGAATAGAATTGAGCATCACAAAAATGGGTTCGGATTGACTAATCGGTGGTTCGGATTGGCGAATCGGTGGTTTGGATCGCCATTTTACTATGCGAAAAAATAATGAATCAGAGAAAAAATGCATGAAAAAACAGTAAACGTGTTTGAATCGGTGAATCGGCATTTTTATTGTAGCATGACAACCTTTTTATTGTAATAAAACGCCTTTTTAAAAAAAAACCTGAGCCTTATAGAATCTACATCTCTTTTGCCGAACTTCGAACAAAGAAATGATAAAACCAAACTTTTATTAAACAACCGAGGGAGGGGGATAGGAGTGGCACTAGGTCGCATCAATTTGTTGATTTGACACCACACAAGTCCAAATCTGAACTTGTTTATTGTAGCCACCAGGTCGGGTCCGAGTCTTAGTCTATTGTGGATCTTATCGAGCCGGGGTCGCGTTTTGATTGATCCTACCAAGTATGACCTGATATTTGTATAGAATATAAAAATATGCTATGTAATATATTTATATTGTAAATATTTATACTAAAATTTATTTTTCTTTTAACTAGAGGTGGACCTAACCCAGTGGGTTGATTCTAGGTCCAATGACTAAACCTGACACGATCCAAGTCAAGTCTGTGCCCAACTACGACCCTATAAAGTCAGGTTCACATGGACCTGACCCGACCCATTAACATCCCGATAGGTTCGCATGGACCTGACCCGACCCATTAACATCCCGATGGGGAATTGCAATAGAGGCTGACAGTGGTGCATGGTATACCATACACCACATGAGCATCCCATGCTTATTCCATTGGTGAATATCATGGTATACATGGGGCATTATACACCATGCCCCATAGATCACCCAATGCCATTCCGCTGATGAATGGCATCGTACAACCGTACAACTGCAGTGGGACAGCCCAACGGGAGGACTCTCCGTCTCCATGGTCCGTTGTTCGTGGACGGAGTACAGATGTAACCAGGTGTAACATTTACCATACACGACAGGGCTATTATATGCTATCCTCAAGAAGAGAATATTCGCTTCTCTTTTGCGTGTCACGATATTCTCGTCATTTCAATAAAAGTTAGGGCTTAAGATCACTCTCCAAAATGGCATTTAATTTTCCTTCATTTTCTCTTGAGTCGTGTGACTCTTCTCCGTCTCTCTGCAATTCTAAAGCCCTTTCTTCCTCTTTCTCCCGCTGTCTTTGCTGTACTTCTCTCTACTAAACGCTAACCCTAACCCTAACCCTAACTCTGACCAAGTACTTCTCATTGTCAGCTCTTGAAACCTCACAAGAAACTGCTCTTCTGGCGGCCTCTACAATGGCAGGATCCGCCATTTCTGCCCAAAATTCTCTTTCTTTCACTTCCTCTGAAACAGCGCTTCAGACTCTTGGAATCTCAAAGGTATATTGCTGTTTCTCTCTAGCAATGTACATATGGATTCATATTTT